GGGTGGACAGGTCGGGGGGGGGAGGGGGGAGGGAGGGTCACCTTGGGATCAGAAGCCAGGAAGTACCAGCCAGGAGATCTGTCTGAAGAACTAAGTTGGAGACCCAGAAGATCAAGCAGAGCATGAGGTCAGAAGGCTAGCCAGGGCAGGTGTGCAGAGAATCTGTCAGAGTCAGTAGCAGCACAATCCAAGGGTGTAGCAGTCTAGGTACAAGGCTGCACCTTGTGGCCCAGATCCTTCTCCTTCCAGGTCAGAGGAAGGGACATATAGGAAGGGACAAGGGGTCAGCTGACCTTGGCTGGTCACTTTGGTGGTAGGGAGTGGCCATGTGCCTAGGTCTAGATGAAGTGTTCTGGCCACCCGTTTCGGCATCAGTGTTCCACTTCAGAGGTGGCAAACTGGGGTGAGCTGCCATGCTGGGCAGGCCAAGGCCCTGGGGGCAAGGCCACAGCTTGGTATTACCTGCGCCCCAACAACCCCTTCTAGGGGGCACTGGTCCAGGTTTTCATGAGTGGTTCATGTGGAAGATCTGTACCAGATCAGAGGCGTGGATGTTTTCCATGGGACATGCATTCCTTTAGTCCGTACCCTTCCCCATGTACTAGGTACTGTAATTTTTCTTACTGCCATCTTGAGTCCAGGATCTTCTTGACTAAGGACTTTTCTTGGCTGTGAATCATTATGGGTGGAAGAAGAAGTTGGGATCAGTGAAGGAGTGTGTTTTCTGTGTAAGTTTTAAAAAGGACATGTGAAGGACCAGGTGGATTTGAAGTGTTGGGAGCAGCTGCAATTCAAAGGTGACCAGGTTGATTTTTGGGGTGATACAGAATGGGCTGATACACTTGTGATCCAGTTTCAGTGAGGGCTGGTAGATGCAATGGTACTCTGTTGACCACTACGCTTTCTTCCCTACTGAGTAAGCAGGTCCTAGCTGCCAGTGTTGGTCTGCATGTTGTTTATATGCTTCCTGTACCTTTCCAGCTGGGTTTTTAGTTCCTTTTGGACTTCGTGCACATGTTGTTCCCAGTCTGTAGCTGGAGGGTTAATCAGAGGTGATGGGTAAGATGCGGTGTAGTTGGGGGTGAAACCCATAATTGGAAAAGAAGGGTGTTTGTCCAGTTGAGGTGTACATGGAGTGGTTATAGGCAAAATTCAGCAAGTGTTACCCAGCTGTATTGCTAGAAATTGAGGTAGTGCCCAAGGCACTTATCTAGGACCTAGTTTGTTCCCTCCTCTTTACCATTTGTTTGTGGGTGCTATTAAGATGACAGCTGGGCATAGACTCCCAGCAAATACAGGGCCTTGCACTAGAATCAGGAAATGAACTGGGACCCGTGGTTGGAGGTTATGTGGTCCAGGAGACCATGAAGGTGAACCACATGGTCCAACCATAACTGGGTTGTGTCTTTAGCTGAGGGCAGAACTGTGCATGGGATAAAGTGGGCCAAAGTTGTTCAACTGGGCTGTCCCTGCCAGGATTGTGGACTATTCACTGGATTTGGGCATCTCTATGATGAAGTCTTGGGAAAAGGCAGACCAGGGCTAGTGGGGCAGGGGCAGGGAGGGGAGAGAAGCAGATAGGAAGGGGCTGGAGGAGCCCACATGGTTTCTGTGTGGGTTTTTTAGTGCGGGTGCAAAGATTACTGGACTGGATGAAGTATCAGATTGGCTGTTGAATGCGATGCCACCAGAAGTACTGCACAAACAGTTGATAGGTCTTTCTGATCCCAGATGATCTGCTAACCGTGAATCATGGCTTATGTGAATACAGTTGGCCTGGCCAGACGCAGAGGCACATAAATCTTATCTGAAGTGAATATGACCCCCTCCTATACGTGGTGGGGCTGTTGAGAGAAAGTGGCCTGCTTCTCAGGGGAGTATTTCTTCTTGGATGGCTGCTTGAAGCAGGGTCAGCATGTGTGTTGCATGTTGGCTATATTCTTCCCAGAAAAATCAGGATGTTATCCAGGTAGGCAATTACAAATTGGTCCAATAGGTCTTGTAGCATGTCACTGATAAAATGTTGGAAAGTAGTTAGGGTTGTTGAGGAGTCCAAAGAGCATGACTAGGTATTCAAAAGGCCCGTATCACATCTAAAATATGGTCTTCTGTTCATCCCCAGTGTGGATTTGCACCAGGTTATAGACTCCCCAAAGATCCCAAAGATCAAGTTTGGTGAAAATATGAGCAGTTTTGAGCCAATCAAGCAGCTCTAGGATGAGGGGTAGAGCGTACTGACTTCAGATAGTAAACTGGTTCCATGCCTGATAATCAATGGATAGATGTAGACTACCATCCTTTTTTTTTAACAAACAGGACAGGGGCTCCTGCAGGTGAGGTGGACCTTTGTGTGACGCCTGGGCCAGGTTCTCTCCTAGGTACTGGCAGAGGGTGGAGAGTTCAGGCTCCAGGATAGCATAATAGGTCCCACAGGAATTTTCACTCCTGGCTGTAAATTGGTGGGACAGTCATAACCTTGATGCAGAGGAAGAACATTCATGTTTTAATTTTCAAAGATGTCTGCAAAGTCCTGGTATTTCTTGAGCAAATGGGTTCCAGGTTTTGGAGGTTGCACTTCTGTGGAAGCTGCAGCAGGTGGGCCTCCAGCTTGGATCATAAGGGTTTCTGTCTCCCTGGCCTTCCAGTAGTGTTGTTGTCAATTGTCTTAGTTCAAAGTGGACCTTCCGGGCTTTTCACCTGATTACTGGAGTCATGGTGCATAAGCCAGGGAAACCCCAGAATCAAGGGGTAGTATAGGCAGTAAATGAGCCCAAAGTGTATGGTTTCCTAGTGTCCAAGGAGATTAATCTTCCATTCCATAGGCCCTGCAGCCAGGGGTGAGCCGTCTATAGTCTCTATGATTTTGGGTTTGTATCACTGCCTTAGTGGGATTTGTAATCTTTGTGCCACAGTCTTGTCTATGAAATTACCTGTGGCTCCTGTGTCCACCAGGGTAGCCAGCAAGAGGAATGAGCAGGTCTACTCCAGGGCAGATAACAGTAATCAGGAATTCCACAGGGTTTGCCACAGACTTCATGGACTGTGGACATCTTGGGGACTTTGGATGATGCCAAGCCAGTCCCTTTTACCAGGCCTGGCATCATTTACCTTGACCTTGATCCCCTTTCTGGGAGCATATAATGTACTTATGTCCTGGGGCCCCAGCATTGTGGCACTGCTCCTGCTGCTGGCAGTGTTCTTGGTCTTCTGGTATGGGGTGCTGGGTCCTCCTGCCTGCTGGCATGGGGCTGGCAGCAACCATAGCAGGGTGAGGCCCTGGAGGGGGCAAAGCCTCATTTTTTTTTCACTGAGATTCCAGAGGTGTGGAGGTCAAGCTGGACAGCTAGGTCCACAAATGCCTTACATTTTGAAGGTGTTCCCACCAAAGCCAGTTCATCTTTGATCTCTTCCCACAGACCCCAGCAGAAATAATGGAGTTGGGCTGCCTTATTCCACTAGGTGTCTGCTGCATAGCCGTGGAAGAGGGAAGCATAAGCCATAACAGAGTCTTCCCTGCAAATGCAGGGGCCACAGTGTGATCTCTGCCCTCTGGGCTAGATGAGGGTCTCCAAACATGACCATGAAGTCCTTGAGGCCTGG